GGGGGGGGGGGGGGGGGGGGCGGCCGCCCCCCCCCCCCCCTTTCATTCGCAAAGCCGGTCTCTCAAAAATGCCGAGAAATCGCGCCACTTTGCAACTGGACGACCAGTGGACCAAGATTCTGGATGGGAGGCGCTTCATCTTGAAGGAAGATGGAACCATTGACAGGATCTTGATATTTGGAACGTCCGAAAACCTTGCCAAGTTTGCTTCGACTGCCTTAATTTACATGCATGGGACACATGGAATTGGATCGCTCATATTTCCTCAAATCTATGTTCTTCATACCGAGGCAAGCAACGCTACCAACAGTAATTAGAGATTATACAGTTTGAAATAAATCCAAACTTCACAGAATAAATAACTTTTAATGCAAAATGAATTTATAAGTATCCCGGCAAAATAGCATTATAGGTATCCATTCTGTCAAGTGATAGTTCATTTTCTTCTGTAAAGGTTTCTGAACTTGGAATATCTTCTAATAGTTGTTGGCAGTATGCGCTTCACAAAATGTACTTTCTTTTTACTGTGTTAATAACTATAATAATAATAATAATAGCTGCTTAAATAAATGTCCTTATTTATTTATTTCCTGTGTTTAGTTGAGTTCTTCAAGGCACTTACCTCTGGTATTTGCATTCTTTCCTGGAAAGAAGGAGATCTACTGCCGCCTGCTTCACCTACTTCTTGATGCATGTACTATGAAATCACCTCAATGACTAGATAGATAGAAATAGTAGAAATAATAGATTTTGAATTAGCCATGTACAACGCTTTGAGGAACGTCTTTCCCACCAGCACTGTCAAAGGCTACCATTTTCATTTTGCCAACCCTTATGGCGAAAAGATCTGGAGATCGGCTTGACAAAGGCATACAGGAATGATGAGGAAAAGTATATTTATTTCATGGCCCTTCCACCAGTGCTGTATCGCTTTCTGGATGATGCCTGGGAGTTACTCGAGAACAGCTTCCCAAAGTTTTCTGAAACAGCATCAGGTGAGACGGCCTTTCTGAGCTACATGGAGATTACGTGGTTGGAGGTAGTTGCGCTACATTTTTCGCGCTCTTTCTGGAGCCATGGCGACCGTGACGCTTCACGGACCAACAACGTGATGGAAAGTTGGAACTCGAAAAAAGGGCATTATCAAGCAACGTAATCCCAATATATATGAGGTATTTCGCTGCCTACAAATTGAGCACGCCTCAAATGAAGTCATCATCAGGCAGATACTGAAGTCCCCACCAGTTCCAAGCAAACGTCGGCGAATCCGATTGGAGGAGGAGAAGTTGACGACATGGAAATCAGAGCTCAACTTCATTCGACTTCATTCAACAGAGCTCAATTCAGGTCCAGTGACTCCTACTTGGCTCTGATTTCTCGCACTTTCGAACGTACCAAATAAAATATTGATGAACTGGAATCATTTCTGCGACATTTTGAGATAAAATTCATTCCCCGAATTGTCTTGCTGACCAGAGTTTGCATTATTCTTTGAGAGTATGTGAAGATGAGAGTTAAAAAATGCGTGCCTTTTCAAAAACATCATGCATAAAAAGTGAACCGCTAAAACTTGTCTTCGGTTTCTACTCTACATATGCCATTTACTTTTCCATCTTGAAAGTACCACAGAAGTTTTCTGGGATATGATCTGATTTTCATAACATCCATATTAGGAATTTCAAATCGAAATATTTAAAATAGGAGGGATGTCATCTTCGCATAGGGAATAGTAGGGCATTTCGTGCTAACCTGTCTTTAGTTTTCCTTGCGACAATATGTTCAGACTCATCCACGGTGGATTCGGCAAATGAGTTGGATGCCCTTCGGCATGTTGGTCACGCTCTGGACGTTACTGGCACTTGGGTTCATATCTTCAAACAATCCGGCTGGGTCAGATAGCTTCATGGAACAGCAGGTCAGTCATGGGCCATACCTCTCGTGTGATGCTGGATTGGATAATTTCTTAATGAGGAGTTTGTTGCTCTTCTGGTAACGACGAATCTCATGGAGAACGAACGCTCGGGGCCTCTTATTTCTTCACATTTCTTGGATGCAAGCTCGTACCACACAGCAAAGTAGAAACGTACAAGGAGAGGTACAAATGTGAGAGGTACATATTGTGTCCCTCGGGTCTGCACGTGTGGTCCAGACGTACACATGTGTACGTTGC